ATTATGCGCATCTAATGGATATATTATACTTACCTTGTGACCGAGTGAATCGTAAAACTTTTAAATACACTTTGACCGTAGTAGACGTCAGCTTGTGTTACATAGAAGTTGAGCCATTGACCAATAAAACCGCTGAGCAAACGTCTGAAGCCGTGAAACAAATTTACGAGCGATCGCCGCTAACCTGGCCTAAATTTATAATGGTAGACTCTAGATCTGAATTTAAAGGCCAGTTTAAAAAGTTACTGACAAAAAATAAAGTAGAAATTCAAGTGGGCGAGCCAGACGTTCATAGGTCGCAGGGGATCGTGGAAAGGTTTAACCGTACATTGGCCGAGCGTTTATTTAGTCATCAATATGCTCAAGAAATGTTAAATGTGGGTGAGCGAAATGTAGAATGGGTACAGCGTTTGCCCCAGGTCGTGAAATCGCATTTAATCGACAAAGAGCCCACAGAAGCTATCAAATTAGACCAAGTGAAACAAATACAGAGTGTGCCTCCAAAAGCGAGCAAGCGAGAATTACCTTCAAGTAATGGTCGTTAGGTTTTTATTTTACCTGGGCGAGCAAGAGGGTGGCACCATTAGAAGAGCGACCGATCCAGTCTGGTCAGTTGACGTTTGTCAAATTGAAAAACGCACTAGCCAATTTAAACGAGTCAATGGCAAGTGGATAAAAATGGGCCCCACTTTATATTATTTATTAAAAGGGCCAAATAGAAGTATCTGGTACCTGATGACACCGAATTACCACCCGCTAAATAATGCCCGTGAGCTAAAGTTTTCATGCCGTTTGGTAATATATAGCGCTTTGTATCTAATGGCTACAGGCTTAATTTATTTTGCGTGATGGTGTACATTTGATGTTTATCTGATTTCAATAATTGCTGTTTATGGAACTGTTGCACTCAGTCAATTAGACAACTTTTATACGCGGCGTGTGATAACCGTTTCTCGGTTATAACTTTAGTAACGCCTTTTGCCTTCTTTAAATTTTGATCTTCCGTTAAGATCAAGTACATTTTTGGTCTAATGCAAATTACCTCCGAAATTGTTTGACCACCAAATTCATCTTTCCATTTACCAATGACCTTTTTTTGAATCAAAGTTTATGATCGGTTGGGTAATTACTAAAGTCAAATAATTTATGCTTTTTGCATAGGTACATATACTTGTTTAAATTACCCGTTTCAAATTGAACTAATAAAGCATCCGTGTCAGTGTATAAAAGATGCACATCTGAAAGGAATTCAGCCTTTAATGTATTATAATAGAAGTCATACATTAAAGTTTTGGATAAATCTAACACGCTTACATTGCAATAAATGGGCTTATTTAATTTAGTTTTAATTTGATACATTTCCACAAAAGAAAGCTCGCACTCCTGAAATGGCGAGGTAGATTTGTAATTTGGTTTAAAAGTTAACTTCTGGTATTTTTCGGCATCTAGCAAGTCTCGCAATAAATGCCCGTCCATACGATAGCACACGTTTTCCATCGTCTTGCCAAAGACCGAATTATTCATCAATTTAAAAAAATCCTTCTCAAAATTAGATTTGGTTATTTTTCATAACTCATTATTTTTATCAATATAACTTTTCATCCAAGGCTCCTGTTTAAAAGACACGACGCAATGCACCTTTTTTAATCCTAGGCCTAGTTCTTAATATTTCTGTAAAGTTCGGTAATGAACCACATATTTATTTTTTGTGTTTAAAGTTGACATGAGTTTATCTATCTATCTAATTCGCTCGCCTTTTGCCATTAAATCCCTTTGATACGCTGACAGCCATTCATCGATATATTTTCGGGGGCGAGTGGGAAGTGATTGTGTAAATCGTGTAAGTGCTGCGGATAACCTAATGTCACTTCGAGCATATAACCTTTGGACGCGCTTGGACAAATTTTCGAGATATACTCTGGAGTAAATATAGTCACGTCCTGAATCCAACTGAAATCTTTAAAAGGCAAAGCCTGGCTCATGGCCCAACCGTTTGCGTCTAAATACATGATATGTGACTCTAGCTGGGTCATGGTCTAGTAAACTCATATTGTTCGCCTTGGCATAGCGCTTTGCACCCACGCTAGAAATGCCACCCCTCAAAAAATAAGTGCTTGTCTATATTTGTCAGTAGTTCCAATTGTATGCCTGAGTGCTTTAACAATGCATCCCACGACAGGCCCAGTAACGTGTAATACATGTAGTTGGCTGGGTCAAGGTCATAGCGCTGTTTACAGACTTCGCGGAAGTTCTCAAATACACCCGCTAATAACAGCACGTTCGTTTCTACGTATAGGTCTCTAACCTTGTGAAATTTATTGATTGGCTTTTTACATGTCATGCAAATAAAGTCTTTTTAACCGCTTTTTTCATTAATACACTAAAGGCAATTTTTTCTTCTTTTCTTTGTGGTTCATCGGGAATTGGGCACTGGCACTGATCTTCGCTATTCTTGCCGATAAGCTTTTCACAGATCCAGCAGCGGTTACAATTTTCATAGATTTTTTGTAATTTGTCAGACCAAATAATCGGCTTAGGATTTGCAAATGTTTTGTTAATCGTGGCGACTTCTCTGGAAAGCGACTGCAGAAATTTAACTGCAGCATTTTTACCTCTGTAAGTCTCGTGTGAAGGGCAAACCCCGTCGCATCTAACGACTGCGTAAGAATAGCCGCAAGGCTTATGGATTTGTGTTTTGACCATGTTTAATTCTTTTGGCAGTAACTTTCTAAAACAGACTCAAAATCTGCATAAATTATAAAAGGGGCGTTCTGCTTGTTTTTATAATTTTTAAACTTGATAATATTTTTGCCTTGGCAAGCATTTCGACTCTACACGCCGCTGTGTCAATTCTTTGACAATCTTCTCGAGGTCGGGTGAATCTTTCTTCACTTTGAAAGTGAGACAGGCATTTGAAACACTAGTATAATTTACCGGTGTGTTTTGTAACATCGCACATTAACCGATTGTTTAATCCAGCAATAATGACTTATTTCACCTTTGGTAAAATAAAGTAAATTAATGGGCTCTTCTTCGCTTTTGGTCTTGTACAGCACATAAGTGCCCTCTTTCTCAGTATAACCAAATACATTAATTATTTTGTGATTCGATTCGCGAAATTTGTGAAATGGGCGTGGGAAAGTCTACGCTTTTGAAATTTAGGCCGTCTTCTTTTGTGTAAGTCGAGGTACACTCGTTATTTATTTTGTAATTTGGATTTGTTTCTAACTGATACCTGACATTGTCTGAATATATTTTTAAAGCAGATCTCAACGCCCAACAGATGCACTCCTGGTCACTTTTATTTTGGACGTTAATAATTGCCGTTTTAACCACTAAATATTTAGGTAGTGGAATATAAGTCACGCCGACTGGATTATACTTCACAACGTTGATATAAAAAGCTATTACTTAATCAAAGACCCAACCAGAGCCTCTTGTGAACTTCCGCGTCTTCTTTATGTTGTGCGATTTGCTGATCCAACGCCAATTTAATACCCTTTTTAGAAAAGACCGTGTTATTTTGACTGGTAAATGAGAAAACGCCGATCTTAGTTTCAGCTCCCGGTTTTTCCATCTTGAACTGAATCTTAATGGCCGTTTGTAATTTATAAGAGCCGATTTCCTTAAACTCGGCAAGTGCCTTATCTTTGATTTACTTTCTATAAAAATCAAAAAAATTAAATAAGTCGTCTTCGTAAAAATCAGGGATCAGTTCCCAATTTCTGTAATTATCCCTAAAACACGTAATTCTCCGGATGTCCACTTCTTCCATCACCCGTGGGGTAATGTACGCTTTAATCACGGTGATCAAGTCCTTTCGTAATATTTTTCCTTTTACACCCATGGCTGTAAATTCTATGTCGTTATCTTGAGCTATTTTTAAAAGCTGGCAATATGGCTGGCGAGTGAGATTTTTAAATTGTCGTTGACTCTCTTGAATTGCTTTTACGAGCTCCGACTTTGAGTGACTTTTTTTGGCAGGCGCCGGTCATGAGACGTTATATCGTTTAGCAAAGTCTGCTAGAAACAATTTTTTCAAACGCTGAAAGTCCGATAAAACAGGTCGGCGTTTTGATTTGGTTTCTTCATTTATACCCTATTTATATATAGGTTTTTAAAATTTATCTAATTTTTCCCGGTGATTCCAGGGCAGAGCATTTTTTTCGGTGGTAAAAAGTCCTGGGGGAAAGTATGTTCGGGGCTCCGCGAGTGCTAGTTTGGGAAGTTGGGTCACGGGGTGTAGGGGAAGTCATGATTTGGGCCATGGGGTTTGGGGGAAGTCCCAGGCTGATCCAGGAAGTGTGTTAAGTCCCGCGCTGATTTGGAAAGTGGGGAAGAGGGGCTGATCCAGTAAATACCGGTCTCTACTACATGTACATCAGGAAGATATGCATGTACCTGTTATTTATTTAACACAAAAGCTGTTTTCTTCTAGTATCTTACAGCTGCATCTGACTTTTCATTTGTCATTCAATGTGAAATATTTAACACTCCATGATGAAAACTGTTGGTGACAGCATACATGTACTGTTAGATGCCACAAGAAGAAGGTTGAGTTACACTGAAAGTGATATAATTCAAAGATGGTGAGCACCAGAATAGCTCTCTCATAGGAGGCCATCTTTGTAGGAAAATTGGAACTGCTTACCAGTATTTCACACTATCATGTGCGTGTGCACACAGCGTGCAACATATTCTACCCAAGCGCGACTGCTGATCAAAGCATCTTTGAAATACGGTGCAGCAATGCACATCAAAAAAACTTGATCAAAAATGATGATGCATGTGGCAATCTGTAGGATGCCACAACATTTGGGAGAGACCTGTTATAAAAGGTCATTCTTGATTAATTTGCAGTGGAACACAGCTATAACCAACACAACAAGGTCCACACAAAATGTTCAGTATCATGGTCATTTGGCATTGTAAGTTTCAGTCACAGATCTGAGGTTTGATGTGATTGAAAACATGCAACTTAAGCACATACAAAAACTTACTGGTCAGATATGGGCCCGTAGTAAAATGAAACCAGTCGATGGAGAACTTGCAGTTTGCGTTGCAGAAACACTTCAGTTTCAATGCCATCGCCATTCACTGCAATATACAGATGATCATCACACTGCAAGCAGGAAATTTATGTGAAACATTACAACACTGGCTAGCCAACAGTAAGCTAATGGTCAGTTAACTTGGAGTGTATGCATGTTTCTTACAGTTTTACTTGTGAAAATGCCAGATTTCAGAATACATAATATTTGATTATAAACAATATACTTGGCAAATAAAGTAACACATGTTAATAAAATAATTTTTTTAGTGTGTACCGGTACATGTATATCTAAATACTGTAGTGATGACTGAAGCATTATTAATCAATGGTCATTGTTCTGGTTCTTGGATATCGCAGAAAGTATACATGTACATCTCACAAAAGCTAGGTTTACATATGCTTAATGGCTCCAGAACTCCTCAAATATTCCCAAAGGCAGCGTGAAAACTGTATATAGTAACAAAGAACAAAGTTACACAAAGCATTAAGTACATGTTGACTAACGGTAATAGAGACGGTAACTTAAGATTACAGAGTCCATGTATCTCCACATGAGCATACAATTTACGAAAAGTTTTCCCAAGTAAAACATAAAGAAAGATACAGTAATATCTTGATACCTTGAATCTCTGGGGAATGGACAAAAAATTCGAGTTATCCCAAATTCGAGTTAAAAGAAAGTCCCAATTTCTTTTCAAACAGTCAATATCACGATGTGTATCATGACATGTACCTATACGCTGATGCACAGTTATCGTAAATCTCCCTATGATGACTTTTGAAATGACATTATGGTTATTTTATACTTTGGTGCCACAAGATTTTGTTCATAGAAAGACATTTTTGCGGAGGATTTTTGTTGTCAATTGGCTGAAAATAACACAATACATGTACCGTAAATCATTTAAAATGTGTACCTTTGCGTGGCAAATCTTTTTTTTGCATTGTGCATGTGTGACCCTTTGTGGTGGCCCCATTTCTGATACTGCACCGTAATGCAGCACCTTGCACGTGCGTACTCGGGCGGGGTTTCCCGTTTAGTCAGATGACTTTTTTCATCACATGAGGGCACACCATTTTTGTGCTTCAATAAAATTTCGTAAAAACAAAAATGCTATTGGTGTCTTTTTTATATTTTATTCTTTGTTCTTTATTTTTAAACTTGTGTTTATTTTTTGGGAGTGAGATTTGGCTACGCAAACGCTCTGCGTTGCAGTCACGTGGTTGGTCCACTGCACATGAGCATGCTGTGGTTTGTGGCTCTAATTGGGCAGCCATCACACGGGCGAGCGCAAGCAGTTGGGCCAGACCATTAAGCCAGACTTAACTTCTGTACGAGTGGCACGTGCGGCATACACAAAGATCTCCAATGCATTGCCTCAGTCACCTCAAAGAGCCATCAGTTGGCCTGCTGACGCACTGGCTATAATGGGCCCACGGTAACAATTGGGCCAATTCCTGCAAGTTGGATTTTGCAGTCACTGTGTGGTTACATGTCTAGATCAATCATCATTGTAGCACGCTTGCAGGTGTTCCAGTGTGAAGAGACAAAGTGTGCATGTCAGAAATTATTCATAACTAGACCCGCGTTCTGTTTACACTTTCTGGAAGTTTTTTGGCGGCGGTTTCTTTTGGATCTACTATACAGAAACTTCGAGGTAAACGAATCCGGCAATGTCAGCAGTTCGAGTTACGGATATGGTTTTGTACATAAAAGCCTATTCTTCAGGTGGGAGTTAATTATTCTTCAAGTTAAGCAGAGTCTCAAGTTAACCGACTTTGAGTTATCGGGATGTTACTGTAGATAGTTTCTCATTTCCAGACCCGGATGACAATAAGAGTAGTTATGTGGATTACCTTCTTGTGTGCACTAGACTTGTAGTTAACAATGTTGGTCATTTCTGGCTATTTGGTCACTTTTCTATCGCTCATAAGAGACAAAACATGGCTTACATGGAAAACTTAGACCATGCCTCTGTTGGTTGGTGTTTGTTTCCTCGGGTAAGTATTACAAAGAGGGCACTATAACAACTTAATGGCAAGTTCCATCAACATGGCTCTCCAAATTAGCAGGGCTAATTTCAGATCATCAAAATGAATCCCTTTTTATACCTCGTGATAACCTTAAAGATTAAGCCTGTAACTTTGTTTCTGTGTATAACTTCAAGAGACGTTTCAGTGCCCCAAGAACTACACTACAGAGCAACTAATCCAACAATGACAATATAACAAAGAGAAACTCATCAGTGGGTGTCCTGACTATATGGGACAAATCAAAACACAATCAGGCATAAGGCGGTTCTTCGCACTATTGGCTCCTCGACAGGGATTCCCTTGGTCTCCTCATTAGGAATGAGCAATACCAACTTCTGGACTGGCCGCTCTATGTACTTCGTGGCGAGAACTCTCTGGCCAGCAGCATCTAGATGAGGGTCTCCAACAGCAAGCTTAACTCTGTGCACCAGGTTGTCTTCAACCGTAAAGGACCGATGACTTGATCTTATGGTGATGGAAGGAAGCGCTGTTGAGGTATCGGTCGGTGTGGGTGGGCTAACGATAAACCCTCCGGGCAAGACTGCCATCCTCCCTTCTGGACACCTCAAAATCAAGAAACTAAATGCTGCCATTCCTCTCTTGTTCCATGGTGAAGTGGATGCTGCTGTGAAGCCCATTGAGGTGGTCCAAGTAGAGTTGAAGGTTGTCTTGCCCGTGCTCCCAGATGACGAAGGTGTCATCCACATACCGGAGCCAGATCTTGGGGCGGTGGTCTGCTGTGGCCATGGGGTCTGCTCGAACTCTTCCATGAATATGTCAGGCAGAACCGGGGATATAGGGGATCCCATGGAGGTTCCAGCTGTTTGTTCATAGAATTTGTCCCGCCACTGGAAGCTGGCAGAATCAACACAGGTGGTGAGGAGGTCTTGAAGCTGGCTTGGGGTTAGGTTGGTGGGGTCCTTGAGGCTGGTGTCGGCTTGGAGTCGGTCCCTCGCTATAGTTGTTGCGTCAGAGGTGGGAATGCAGGTGAAGAGCGACACGACATCAAAGATGACCATGATGTCACCTGGCTGCAGCCGGAGGTCTTGAATAATGGACGAGAATTCATCTGAGTTCTTGATGTGATACTGGGTGTTGCCAACTAGAGGACGAAGGATCTTGGCCAGGTGTCTTGCAGTGCTGTAGGTGGGCCCTTCTCTAGAAGCGACAATGGGGCATAGTGGGGTCTCCTTCTTGTGTATCTTGGGCTGGCCGCAGAATCTTGGGCATCTTGAGTTGGATGGACGTAACTGTCGGTACAGCTGTTCTGTGATGTTCCCAGAGTGGTGGAGGGAGAGAAGCGTCTGTTGCAGCTTCCTCTCGATGGCTGCTGTGGGGTCTCTCGGAAGTTCACGGTAGCTGCCGGCATTGAGTATATCCATGACTTTGTGATCATACTCAACCCAGTCTATGACCACCATGGCGTTGCCCTTGTCAGCAAGGAGGAAGTGGATGGATTTGTCTTGGTGAATGGATTTGTCTTGGCGGAGGGACTTGATGGCTGAACGGTCTTCTCTGGTGGTGTTCGGCTTCGGGTTCTTGTGTTTCCGAAGGGCTTGGCTGATGTTGAGGCGGATTGCATCGGCGGTGGTCTTGTGTAGGCGGCAGAGAGTGGGCTCAGTGGCTTGAATTATCTCTTCCTTGGGCAGGGACCGGGGAGTCAGCGCAAAGTTCAAGCCTAGGGCAAGAACTTTCTCCTTACTAATGGACAAGGAGCACTTACTCATGTTGACCACGGTGTTCTTAGTGAAGGACTCCTTGGACTGAAGGTGGGGCAGTACCGAGCATCTCATGGGGTTTGACATCTGGGGGCGTAGGGATATAGGAGATCCTATAGCCTGGGGTGGAGTGCTGCTGTGGGTATTCTTGGGGCTAGTCATCTTCAGGAATTTCTTGACTTGTCGTTGGCGGTCACTTAAGTGGTCACTTATTACGACTGGTAAGACACCACAGTCTTTCATGAGCTCTGCGTGGGAACTGAAAATGAGATCGATTGTGGTCTGAGTGGATTCAGTAACACATGTTGGTTCATGTATAAGTTGCGACATTTGAAACAAATTAAAACAAGAGGTAATTGGGTTAGGATTTACATTTTCGGAAAGATCACAATTGAAATCCCCAATTACAATCATTTCTTTGTGTTCGCAGGAATAGTGTCAACAAGTTTGTCTATAAAATCAACACAGCTTGAAGGTGGTCTATACACAGAACTGATGAGTACAGGCTGTCTTTGTTTACACTTGATTTCAACCCACATGCATTCGACATCATCTGTTTCAAGATCTTCACGACGGATGAAAGTCAAATTGTTTCGAATACACATAGCAACCCCACCACCATGCCTGTTCCTGTCTTTTCTGGCAATGGAATAAGTGGGTAGATTGTCCTTGATTGACCCATCACAGAATGTTTCATTTAAGCAGATGATGTCACATGGACTTCCAGACATTAATATTTGAAGATGCTCAAATTTATTAATTACGCTTCTTACATTACGATGAGCAAATGAGAACCCCTCACAGTTTTCATTGTAAATAACACCGTCCCTTAGGTATAATGTGGCTCCTTGTTCTGTAGATTGAGTACCGGTACCTCTCTGACTGTCTGAAGATACCGGTTCCAATCCTGGTAAGACTTGAACCATTCAAGAACAACGCCGTCAACTCCAAACTTTTTCCTCAGAATGCTCAAGAGAGTACTGTGATCAAGTGTGTCAAAAGCAGAGCTTAAATCAAGCAAAACAAGTAAAGTAACCTGTTTATTGTTCATAGCCAGTAGTAAGTCATTTTTTACCCTCAGTAACGCAGTTTCAGTAATATGAAACTTTGGATATGCTGACTGAAATGTAGGTAACAGATTATGCGAAGTAAGATGCAATTGCAACTGATCTCAAACAATTTTCTCAAGTACATGTATCTCTGAGATAAACTGTAAGTTGTTAACCGGACGATAGTTTTCAACCTTGGCACCCAAACCCCTTTTTTTAGGAGAGAAAACACAACAGATGACTTTTAAAGTTCTGGAAAACATCCCGA